CGTCAAATGAGGGTCCATGGACAGAGAAATCGTCCATGAACACCTCCATAATATCCTCAATCACATCAGAAAATATAGCAGTCATGCATCTCTGAAAAGTGGCAGGTGCATTACATAATCCAAAGGGCATACGACGATAAGCAAACGTGCCATAAGGGCAAGTAAATGTGGTCTTCTCCTGGTCGCTCGGATGAATGGGGATCTGAAAGAATCCCGAGTAACCGTCTAAAAAACAAAAGTACGAGTGGAGGGCAAGTCTCTCTAACATCTGATCAATAAAAGGCAAAGAAAAGTGATCCTTACGGGTGTTGGAGTTCAACTTACGATAGTCGATGCACATCCTCCATCCCGTGACCGTCCGCGTAGGGATAAGCTCGTTCTTCTCGTTCTGGATCACGGTCATGCCTCCCTTTTTGGGTACAACCTGCACAGGACTCACCCACGTACTATCCGAAATAGGGTATATAATACCCGCATCTAACAGCTTCATGACTTCCTTCCTAACTACCTCTTTCATCATCGGGTTCAATCTACGCTGATGCTCAACAGAGGATTTCGACTCATCATCTAAATGTATACGATGCATGCATAACGAAGGGCTAAGTCCCTTAATGTCATCTAAAGTATATCCAAGAACACCCCTATAACGTCTAAGCAAATCACTCAACTGTTCCACCTGGGGTTCTAGCAATGCAGCATTCACTATAATCGGGTAAGTCGAGTTAGGTCCAAGGAAAACATACCTGAGCCCTTCGGGTAAGGGCTTCATCTCCACCTTCGGGGCGTTCTCTAAACTCCAATCAGCTTTATTCAGCTTCCCCGTGCTAAGTGGTGGCTCTCTGGGCTCTAAAACGTCTTTAATAGTCGTCGTGGAGGGTTCGGAGACGTTCCGGGCTGGCTCGGTGTCGGTGGTGGTGCTCAGAGAACTGACTCGGTCCGAGTCAGAACGAAGAAAGGCCGAGTCAACACTTGACTCGGTCGAGTTAGAACTATACAACACTGAGTCTGATGCGAACAAAGTTTCTGAGTTTTCCAGCGATCTGACTCGGTCCGAGTCAAGGACTGACTCGGTCGAGTCAGTAGACAGAAGCTCGAATTTCTCCTCAGGTTTCATCGTCTAACGCCTGTGTGAGCTCCCGAATATCCTCCCAATTGCTGTATATACTCGCATCGGATGCCAGGAGGGATATTTCAAGTGGATCAATGTCTCGGAACTGATCGAAGACCTCCTGCATCAAGATCTCGTGTACATCAACATAACACGCTGAATCGGTAGTGGATGGCTGCTTCATATTGTGATCTAAGGTGAACTCAACAGTCTCGTCAACTATCTTCATGGTAAGACGACCAGCTCGAACGTGTACAACCGCATCAGCTGTGTTCAAAAACGGTCTGCCCAGAATAATCGGTATCTTCGAGTCTTCATCCATGTCTAAGACAACAAAATCAACGGGGAC